CCAAAACCCCAAAACCCCGTAACTTAAAAAAGAGATTGATCTTTTTTGATGAAATTGAATAATTTGTTTGTAAGTTGTAGAAAAATTAATTATCTATTCTATTCTAATCACTACTTTTTCTTGTCATCAGCTAATAGAGCCATTCTCTTTTTAAGTTCATTTGCATTCATGATTCTTCCGAAGAACTTTAGGACCTCATCAATCAAGATGACTGGAACTGAGAAGGCGATAACTAATTGCCACTCTGCAAAATTAAGTGGAGTAATGCCGAAAATTTGATTCATAACTGGTACGTAAAGGATGAACATGTGACTTCCAATTGATGCTATGATGGCAGCGATGAGCCAGAGGTTAACAAATGGATGAATAACAAGAAGTGAGTTATCCTCTGAGAGGGCATTAAGAGCGTTAAGCATCTCAATCAAAACAAGTACTGAAAGACTGAGAGTACTAGCCTTTACTTTGCCTCTAGTGAAGTATTCACAAGGATTGGCTGAAAAGTCGAGTCCACCGTAGTTTTGAACGGTTAAGCTGCCAGCAGGCCATGATGGGCACTCGCTCCAGTTTGATAGTTGTTCCCAAGTAACATGAGAATGGCCATCTCCAGTTTCAGCATAAAGATACCAGTAAATGAAGACTCCGACTGTAGCGAAACCGACATAAATACCAATAACCATATATCTGAAGAACACCCATCCACTAATTAGTTGATCGTCAGCACTTCTTGGTGGTTGTTTCATAATGTCCTTATCAGGTGGGTTGAATCCAAGAGCAGTGGCTGGGGGACCATCAGTGACGAGATTAACCCATAAAAGTTGGACTGAAGTGAAACCTTCAGGTACACCAAGCATAGCAGTTAAGAAAATACTGGCGACCTCACCGATGTTTGATGAAATCAGATATCTGATGAAAGCCTTCATATTGCTGTAGATGGCTCTGCCTTCTTCAACAGCCTTAACAATGGTAGCGAAGTTATCATCAGCTAAAACCATATCTGAAGCTTCCTTGGCTACCTCAGTTCCAGTAATACCCATAGCGATTCCAATATGAGCTTGCTTCAAGGCTGGAGCATCATTGACTCCATCACCAGTCATAGCGACGATTTGGTTCTATAAATGAGTTAGATTAAAAAATATTCTTACCATCTCAATAAGAAGCTTAACAAGTTCTCTCTTGTGTCTTGGTTCGACTCTTGAGAAAACTTTACCTCCTACTCCACCGAGTGCAGCTTTCTTTTACTCGTGACTTAACTATTCGAATTCAGTGCCTGTGAAGCTAGTGTTTGGTCCATCTTTGTCAATGATATTGATTTCTTTTGCAATAGCAACTGCAGTTTCTTTTGAGTCTCCAGTGATCATAATAACTCTAATACCAGCAGTTTTGCAATCACTGATTGCTTGTTTAACTTCTTCTCTTACTGGATCCTTAATGCAGACAATACCTAAGAAAGTACCTCCCTTTTCGAGTTCTCCGTATTGTTCAATATTGCTGAGTTTTTGCTCTAGGTTGTTCTCATTTAAATCAGATAAACTTCCAGCTCCATAAAGGATACCTACACCTAAAACTCTAAGTCCCTCCTTGGCATAGCCTTGGATTTGCTCGATAAGTTTCTTCTTTTCAGCCTCAGTGAATTCTTGAACTGAGCCATCTTCCTTTTTATAAGTCTTTGACTTCTCGATAACTCTCTCTGGAGCACCCTTGAGCAAAAGGCAATTATTCTAGTTACCCCCTAGTCCCTTTACCACAGTTGACATGGTCTTTCTCTCGCTGGTAAAATCTAAAGAAGCGATAGTCTTGATGGTCCTTTTAAGCTGAGTAGCATAAGCAGTTGGTGATTTCTTATAGTCAACATTGCCAAGACTTCTGTCATATTGACCTAGTTTCTCAGCAGCAACTTTAAGAGCAGCTTCAGTTGGCTCACCTTGCTTGGCAAAATTACTTTCTTCGTAAACAATATCTGATTTGTTATTTAAAGTACAAACTGCAGCAATTTCTCTAATTGAAGCAACCTTTTCGAACAAATCACTATTCATTTTCATTACTTGACCCTCAGGACTATATGATCTCTCTTCAATATCAAATGATTTAAGATCATTCAATCCGTTTCCAATATAGGCGAATTTAACAGCACACATTTGATTCTTTGTCAAGGTTCCAGTCTTGTCAGAGCAAATAACTGTTGTGCATCCAAGTGTCTCAACAGATGGTAATCTTCTAACAATAGCATTGTTAGCAGCCATCTTTCTAGTTCCAAGTGCAAGGCAAGTTGTGATAACAGCTGGGAGACCTTCTGGGATAGCAGCGACTGCAAGAGCGATAGCAATTTTGAAATAGTAGATACATCCTTTGAGGGGTGATCCGTGCATCTTATCGAAGAAATTATTGAAGTTCATGATCCAAACAAGGAAGCAAATAATGGCAATAATCTTTGAAAGGAGCTCTCCAAAAGCGTTGAGCTTCTTCTTTAAGGGAGTGTCTTCCTCTTCCTCAGCAGCACCAGCTACCTCCTCTTAAACTCTACCAATGGCAGTTTACATACCAGTGTAGACGACTACTCCAACAGCTGAACCATAGTTAATAACAGTTGATGAGAAAAGCATGTTCTTTTAATCTTGAAGGAGTTGAGCTGACTCTGGCATTGGTTTAGTAACCTTCTGGACTGATACTGATTCTCCAGTTAGTGGTGCCTCTTCAACTTGAAGTGATACTGAGTTCAGTTATGCGATTCTGAGATCGGCTGGAATTCTATCTCCAATTTTAACTTCGACAATATCTCCTGGGACTAGTTCTTTTGCGTCATGAATAGACCATGCTCCATTTCTTAATAATTTGCACTCAAGAGCTTGCATTTGCTTGAGAGCCTCTAAGGCCTTATCGGCATTTGAATCTTGCCAGATTGAAATAACAGCATTAACGACTAAGATAGTCAAGATAACGAAAGGCTCAACATATGCAGTAATTCCTTCATCATGATCTCCTATTATTGGAAGTTATTATCTAGAACTTTCTCCATAAATATAATATTAAATTCAAAATGTTTCTGCTTCTACTTACCAGTTAAGGCGATGACAAATGAGACGACAGCAGCTAGAAGCAGGATTCTAACTAGCAAATCCTCAAATTATTCTTTGATTTTCTCGAACAGTGACTCCTCCTCCTCTTTATCAAGTTGGTTATGACCATACTTTTGAAGACGCTCCTTGGCCTCCTCAACAGAGAGTCCAGTTGTTAAATTAGTCTAAAGCCCCTAGACTACGTCTTCTACTGTTTTCTTGTGATACTGAAACTCTTTAAGATCTAGTTTCTTTAAAGCTTCGGCCGTGACCTTCAGCTTATTCTCTTAGCCTTTCTCCATAGTTTGGAAGATCAAATGAATATTTTTCTTAGAATTGATTATTTAAATATTAAGTTAATCATCTTTTAAACTACTCAATAATTAGACTAGTGGCTAATACGATTGCCACGTATAAATACCACTTTTCTAGAAATTTTATTCATAAATTTCGCATTTAAGATAAATTTACCACTAAGGGGTTTTGGGGTTTTGGGGTTTTGGGGTTTAAAAGATGATT